GGGCGTAGTATGGACTTGGAAAGCGCACATTCTGAAGGAATAGATCACAAAAATCTTAAAGTGGTAAGTATTATCAGTAAATCAGTACCGAGTGTTTGTTAACTTCCCCTTTCAAGCACACACTCTGCTCTTCTTCTTGGCTTCTCTTCTTCTCTTTTTCCCTTATTCCTTTTCTCTCTTCTTCTTATCTTCTCTTCTTCTCCTTCTTCTACTTTTTCTCCTAATTACTTTTCTTGATCGTGTTCGTGTTACCTTTTTATATCAAAGTTGCCACCAAACATACTCAATGAACCCTAATGGACGCTTTAGAACAATTTTCTTTTTATTTTCACGAAAACTTGTGTGATAAGAATGAATATACCCCATACCTTGCACAGGGCAAAATTGGTTTCAAAAGTTAGTCCATCATTCTCAGAGAACATGACCTCTGACTATACTTTCACTTGCCATGATGATGGATAGTCACCTTGGTAAGCCATCCAGCTCTGAAGATCAAATTGAGAAAAACAATTATAAATAGATAAATAATTGTAATAAAGAAAACAAGTATAGTCGTAATATATCATTCTGTTGAAGTATAAACTCAACTGGATGCCAGCTTATGTATGCAATGTATAGTGTCTGAGGTTGAAGCGGAACCATCTAACCTTCAGCACTCATGATTCCTAAGTGTAAGAGAGGAAAATTTATAATTCCTTATAATTCAACCGCCAATATTTGTCATTCATGAAACTGCTTCCACATCCGAATGTTGTGCATAGTGTCTAACTCCAGTAAAAGAGAACAGAATTTTTACCAACCACAGATAGATCGCTATGCGGTCCATCTAATTTCCTCCATTCTTGCAAACAACCTGCAAACCGAGTTGTTGAAACGTGCTCGATCCAAACATTCATGGCGTCCTGCATTTGGTTTGGAGTTCCATGCTTCATAGTGACGTGAACTTTAGGAAGCGAGGAAAAGGCCTAAAAATGGTAAATGTTGTCATTCCGAGTTTCATTACTCGATATATTTATACTTGAATTAAAATGATTAACTTGATAAGCAACCACGAAAAAGGCTCCTTTTTAAACAGTTGTGATGTCGTTACTTCGGCACGCCCCTTCAATCAGCTCAAATGTGTTAAAAAGCTCGACAATATTAACATTGTACTAAATCATTTTTATCCTTCCTGTCCTTTTTTTATGTTTGCTCTATCGATTTTTATTAAAAGTAGCCGTTAATGGTTTGCATTTTTTTATCGGCGTGTCCCCGACAGTCTGCTCAGTTGAGCTAGTATGTTGGCTGTCTCGCTAAAGTTCAACACGGTGTCAACATCGTCCTCTTTGGTCGAAATTTTTTTGGCAAATGTCTGTAAACATTTCCGTTAAGAAGACGAGAGCATCATCACGGAATGAAAAAAGATAATAATAAAAGAAATTATATAAATTTTAAGTGATTTCTGATGGTAAAGATCGATGCT